TTTTAGTCCATAAATTACGAAAAATGCACTTATTTAGGCATTTAGTCAATTAGTCCATGAGATAAGTCTATCACTTAATTTGAAGACCCAATATATATCCAAACACCAACCCTAGAGATGACAATTTGTTTTGAAATTTGTTAAGCTTTGTGGGGATTCATATTGCAAGAATGGAGATTCAAAAAATATTCTTTCCCATAAGGCAATGATGGAAGCAATTTTTTTTTCTATAAAATTTCACAAGAAATTTCTTTCATCTCACGAGTCTTTATAGGAATCCATATATAATAATAATATATATATAAATTTAGGGTTTTTTAAATTTATGTCATAAGAACACCTTTCCATCATAAATGCTTATTGAAAAGTGTAAAATCTCATGTTAATTTTAATGTTAATGATAAGTGAAGTAATATAATTGGACAATTGATCGATAAATTAAAAGTTAATTTTTATTTTTTTAATACAAATTTATTACAAAAATGTACATTTATTTACCCTTAGGATACAAGTTAGACAAACTCATAAATTTATCATAAAATAAGTGATAACTGAGTTAGAGAAAGTAAATACAAAGAAGACAAGGTAAGACCACGAAAAGAGAAAAGAAAAGAAAATATGACAAATAGTAATGCCTTCTATTCTTCCATTTCACTATCTCTTCTTCATACAATGCAAGCCTATAGACTAAGGGAGAATGAATGTTACATAAATTCAATGAATGCATTTAATTCAAAATTCATGAATTAAGTGGAACATTGAATAGAGCTTGTTAGTAGTTCAATGAATGTGGTTGTTTAGTAAATATAATGGTTTAATGAATAAAGCTTGGTTCAATGAATAAAGTTTGGATCTATGAATCAAAGTTAGTCATTCAATAAATAAAACTTAGTGGAAGGATAAAAGTAAAACATCTATTCATTTATATAGTTCATAATAAAATTTATATTTTTACAGATTATAATATATTTATAAAAATATAAAACCCAATTAATTTTTACCCTACCCAGCCTAAATTTCTCAGCCCAATTCCTCTACTAGTCTTTCCCAAATTTCTACTCTTTTTACGCTATTTTTTATGGATTTGATGGAATATATACATTTATAGCATGTTTGAGAACTTGAATTTAATTAGAGTGCATTTGAATTTGGAGCTCTAAATTTAAATACTTTGTTTGTTTTTAATAAATGCAATGTATTTGTTAAATATAATATATTTGAATTTCATCTAAATACATATGTTTGAAATCTTACATTTCAAAGTTAAAATTACATGTATTTCAAATACATCCTCTAACCTATGAATTTCAATTCTAAATTCTTGCATTTCATCAAAATAATTAAAAGAGGGTTTAATTTAAAAAGAAATTTAATTTTAAATATGCTACATTTTAATATATCCAAATAATGTATTTAAATATACATATATTTGAAATTTATTTTTTTAAAATTAATCTAAACAATGTATTTTAAAATACATATATTTACAATTAATATATTTTAAATACAAATATACATTTCTAAACACAACCCTAACGAACTATATACATTTGCTAGTCAAATTTTTACTTTTTTTATATTTCTTTATATAATATTTTTTTATAGTATTTGTAAAATTTTTTATATATTTTTATTTTTGTACTTCATAAATTATCTTTTATGTAATGTTGTAAAATTTATTTACCAAAAGCAAAGTTAAATTTTATAAAAGGGAAATGATTTTTGTATAATATTTTTATTTCATTTTTTTATATAACTTGACATATCATTAAAATTATTAATTCTTTTAATTCACTTAAAACTCATAATATTAAATATATTCACTCATTTAAAAACATATAAAAATTATATTAAAAAAATGATATAAAAATTTTTTCCTATGACACCACCCTTTATAAAATATTTGCCAGACACTCAGCACATCTGCGGAGAACTATTAGTCCCCGCTGAAATTTTCCGCGGACGGGGAATTTGGGCCCATTGCCATCCCTAACCAACCTTGACCAGCGCCGTTCTTAACATATAATATAGGATATACAGTTAAATATAGTATCCTGGCTTATTTCAGACCCTTACTCCTCTACAACTGTTCACGGTCCCTGCGTTTCTACACCGTTCAGGTTCCCGGTCGCCGCCATATTCGTTAGGTGAGCATCCACGGTTCTCAGATTAATTTGCTTCGAGTTTTTTTCTTTTTCTTTTAATTTATTGTTTTGTTTCCTGGTTCTTTTAGTTCGAATCAACCCTGAGGTCTGAGATAGGGCTACGTCTCTGTTTTTGGTGCTCAATTTTTCTTCTGTTTTAATTTCCGAATTGTAAAGTTCACCACTTTATTGATATAAACTTTTATTCTTTAAATTAATCAACTGCGAAATTTGTTAGGAGATCTCGAAAGGGAGGATCTTTCAGAGAAAAAATGGTTTTTTTTTCTTCTTCTTTTTTTTTTTCTGGTTTTGTAAAAGTGAATAAGAAAATTCAGTGTAGAAATCTTTATTTGTTTGTTTCCTTGCTAATCCTATTTTATAAATTTAAATTCAGTGTAGAAATTTTTATTTGTTTGTTTCCATTCTAATCCTATTTTATCAATTTCAAATGGAAAACAGATTTGGTGAAGTGAAGCGGAGGAGGAAGAACGTTGTTGGTGTGGACCGTATCTCCAACTTGCCTGAATCCATCATACATCGCATTATGTCCCTCCTTTCTCCAAAAGAGGTAGTCGGAACCACTGTTTTGTCCAAGAAATGGTATCATTTCAACTTTCAAGGCATCATATCCTGTCCTGAAATTCAAGGAAATAAAGTTTAACAGGAATCCTGAATGTCTGAACTATTGTAGAGAAGTGGTTTATAAATCTTTATATCACTTTAGCCAGAATAAGTTAGTGTCTGAGGCATTTTGTATTGAGATAGTCTCGCCTTCACTTTACCCTGATCTTCGTAGCTGGATAGAATTGGCTTTACAGAACTAAGCGAAATTGTTAGATTATTGTGTCCGTACCCAATTCCGTTTCTCCCAGGACTAGCAGTCATATCTTCTCCCAGCCATTATTTTCTTCAAAAACTTTAACCAATCTAAAGTTGATGTGGTGTTCTTTGGACCAGCCCTTATCTGTATTTAGTTCCCTTAGGAAGTTGTCTTTGCGGCAATGCCGTTAAAATGGCCCAATAATTTTGGAGGATAATGACTGCCCTTAGCTTGAGCATTCAGTTCTCAAAGCCTGCTTTGGTTCCGAGCCTGTCCACATTTCTAATCTTCTTCGTCTCCACACTGTTTATGTTAGTTATGGTTCCTATCTCTTTGAGTTAATGATTGCATCTCAAAGAATCCAAAGTGTTTATATTCATGCCATGCACCGACCTCGGTCAATGATCAATATTGATGGTTGTGATCGCCTGAAATTGTTATATGTGACGTCCGAGACAATTACAGAAGCCTAAATTTTTTGGCTATTACAACTGGGTAATAGCCGCAGCATTAGCCTCGTTGGGCCATTGGCTTCTGAATGGGCGTTGTTTCATGGAGATTTATCATAAAAGAAGTGGACGCTTACATGGAAAGAAATTACATTTATTTTAAATGACAATGCTACTTAGTCGCTTCGTATTTATTGTTTTCCTCCATTTACTGAAAATTGTAATTTTATTAGTAATGATATACAACCATGAGCTACTACTGCACAAGAAATGCATCCCTTCGTGCAAAAAAATTGCATCCCTAATTGAACTAAAAAAAAAATGATGAAAAATACTCAATAAGGCAAACTCTTAGAACTTGTGCTGATGACTAAGGACTTCAGCTTAGACGACTCAGCAGCTGCATTGGCTCGTCGTGTAATCATTTCCATGTTCTTATGCAGACTCTGCTTCACCAAACTTTTCATCATCTTCTTCCCTTCCTGCGCCTCTCTTGGATTCACTGGAGACCCCATCGCAATAATCCTTCCTGTTTGTGGCCCAGAATGTGGCCCCATCCTTTCTTGCCTTTCATCCTTAAACCATTGCAACAGCTTCATTGCCCTCTTTTGAGCTAGAGGACTTCCCAACAAGGATACTTCAAGAAGCACAGGGACTATCCCTGCTTTAGCCATTTTCTCACGCTGCGTGGAACTTTGATGAGCTAAAATCATCAGAATATAAGCTGATAATTCCTGACATTTTGGCATATCATCCCATGTTAAAATCTCTATTAGGCTCTCTGGCACCATTGAACTATCTTCCATTGCCTTCTTTCCCATTAATGTCACCACCAAGTGCCCTAATGTTGCAAGGGATTTTTCAGAGAGTTGTTTGATTGAGGAAAGGCTTAAGAGTGTGTGCACTGCCCCATTGGAAACCAAAGGTCCAGCATTTTCTAGCTCAGAAGAGAGGTTGTGCAGAGTGCCTAAACACAAATCTTTGATTTCTGCCTTGGAGTCTGACCCCAGAATTCCAATGACAAAAGGGAGAATCTCAGATGAACCCGCGGCTAACGAGAATCGAGTGTTTGCTATTGAAGATAATGACAATACCAATTCTGCAAACAAACCCTTTGTCAATTCTTCTCCAACATCAATTCTCTTTGGTAGTTTTAATAGAATTCCTGACTCTAGCATGAGTGCCTTGTTCCTGATGGAAGAAAAAAAATGGTAAAATTGAGAGAAATTGATGTCACCAGTGATTTTGAAAACCCAGATAAGTGAATAAACAAAGAATGATAATTTGAGGGTAGAGGATGAGATGATAAAGTATGGACTTAATGTGCTGTATTTATATTATTGCATACATTTTGGGGCACTGAAAATACAGACTTGTAACTCACCAAGAAAATAAATGAAAGAATGCAGATCACAAATCAATGAGATTCTGAGATGTAGATCATAGAAGTTCGGAAGATGGGGGTCAAGATATATTATTTTAATTTATTTAATTAAACGCAAGAATTAATAATTAAGATCTTAAGGAGTCAGATGAGCTGGACCTGGACCAAATGTCTAAATCTGGTGTTTTGTAATTAATCTAATTTGAGAGTACAAGACAACAGTGTTCCCCTGTCTTACATTAACTCTTCCAATCTATCATGAAAATTAGGGGGACAATCTCTGTACCCCACGCCTTCTTAAATGATGAAGATTATTTTGCTTAATTTGAATAATATAATTATAATATTGTATAAAGTTATAATTTTATAATTATAATACTTTATTAATAAATATGTGTATTCTAAATAAAAAAATTAATTATATAATAATATATTGTAATTATAAATTTATAATATCATATAATATTCTTATAATTATATAATTTATATTTGCCTAATTAACCAGAGAATCTAGCTACTTGCACGGTAAATCATTGAAGGCTTTTTAGGCTTTGAAAGGGAGATGGGGAAGACGCTCTTTCTGATGGTCCAAATGAAGAAATTTAGAACTTCACTAAGTGGTGCGATAAATCGCACGTTTTATCGAGGGACATGAGATGATCATCAGATCTGATAATTAAATTCTTAATTGTTAATAATTAATAAAAATTAATTTACTAATTATTATCATCGTAAAAAAAAAACAAAATTAATTAACCTCCGACCTAGCTCAATCAGGGCAACAGACCTACCATGTGAGGTACACCGTCCTTAAACGTCAACTTAACAATCCTCCATAAGGGCTCCACTCTTCATCACTCAAATCATTTTATTTCTTTATTTATATTTGAGTTTGGGGAAGCACCAAATTAGACCAAGTCATGTCGTTACCAAATATTCAAGGGACTCTATGGACCATGCATTAGATAGACTAGAAGTGTACATGGCATGGGACCCCTTTTTCACTAACATAATGGACTGTGCAGGAGCTAAAGCCAATTCAGATCATTCCAAGAACACAACTCAATTATTTCAAATTTGGTACAAAAAGTCTAATTCCAGCAGGCTTTTGAAAAACAAATTCCTAACCATATTTTCTTCCCTTTGAAACTTGAGAGAATAATGCCCCACATCAGTCCCATCTTATCTCTGATTCCCCACAACTTGCATATAATCTAAAAAAATTATGATTATCTAACCCCCCCACCCACACCGTACATTTGAAATACGATGATGCGGGTTAACATTCATGTTTATTGTTTTTTGGTTTAAGTATTAAAATTATTAAAATGTTATTACTTAAATAAATTTATAAATTTAATGTTAAAAAATTAAATTTATAGGTTTAAATTGTATTTTAAAAGTATAATTTGGCAAAAAAAAAAGTTTCTAATTCTAATTGTAATTTTAAAATTTTGAAGGAAAATGACTACTTTTGAGAAATATTTTGTGAATTCAATACAGGCGAAAAAAAAGAAAAAAAGAAAAGAAGAGAAATAAATTAACATGACATACATGGTGAAAAATATAAAATTTGACTTACGTGAAAGTTCCGTTTGCAAGCTCGATCAAGGCCTTGAGGGCGGCCTGTTGCCGGCCAGACACGTCGGAGGCTGCCATGGACACAAGCATCTGTATGACGCCGAGCTCCGCCATCAATTTCCTTGACTTAACATCTTCTCTAGCTAGTCTCTCTATTTCCTTGGCCGCTTTCTCCTTTTCCTCCCAGCTTCCGAAGTGAAGTCTCTTAACGGATTTTTGCAACACCACGGAGTCATCCTCTTGAGGACGATCACCTTCCGGATCTCCCTCGGTGGCCTCTGCTTCTTTATCTATGACGTTCATGGTTCTGGATTTTTCTAGATGATCAGATGACGCCCCACATCTTTTACGGGCTGCTTTGGATTGCAAAAAACGGCGGACACGGCTAAAGAACTGAAGTTTCATGCTAGAAAGTATTCAAAGAGAAGAAGAAGAAGAAGAAGAAGAAGAAAAAGACGAAGAGGAAGAGATGGTTGGGTGTTGTGAGGGAGCAATATAGTGAGAGAGGGAAATTAAGAGAAGTTTTTATGGGTTTATTATTTTATATAACAAAACTGGTTTGAGGCTAGACTTTGGTATATATAAAGAAGAAATATATACATGGAAGATGGGGGAGAGGGGGGAAAGAGCACATGCAAAGGAGTAGTATTGTCCCTTAAAACTCACACTAGCCTTGACACATGTTCAAAAACCACAAGGACAGGGGTCTTCCCTATGTGTGTAATACCCAAACTCCCCCTTTTTACTTGTGGGTTAATGACTTACATTACCAAGATGTCAATTTATTAACTGCTAATTAATTTCGTATTCTAACTAATAACATATCTAAGCGATTTAATAAAAAATTTTTCTAATGAAAACAAAAGATCTCAACTTCATAAATTATGTTGTTGAAGTGAGTAAAAAATTAAAAGAAATTATGTACAGCAGTACATCAAATTATATAACTTAAAATTGAAAAAAAAAAAAAAAGAAGCTTATTCTAACTATGCTAAACACCAATTATTTTTTTTAACTACCAAAAATAATTACACCAAATAAGAATGACTGCTATTCAAGGTTTAGGAATAGGATTTTTTTTTCTTTTTTGGGTGCCAACCATTGGAGCCTTGGAGGAGTATAGTACGTAGTGTTTAGAGCATGGAACTTGAATCGAGTCGAGATCTAATTAAATATCTTAATATTAATCCAAAATAACAGTTGATGGCTGAAAAAAAACTCAATGACAGCAGTAAGCCAGTAACCAAATCAAAATCAGACAGCCAAAAGACTCATTTTTGACAGTTCCCATAAACGAGATTGCTTTCTGGGAAATAGATTAATTAATTAAGTGTAATATGCAATACTAAATCGTGTTTTGGGGCACTGGCCCTTAAGGCCCGGTAACATAGTCACGGTGTATTCCTCCTCTCTCGGCAGGATTCAAAACCTGCCCTTGCAATATATGTTCAAAAAAAAAAAAAATCGTGTTTTGGGATATGGGAAAGCCACATTTATGGCATATATTGTGAGATTCAGGGCGAGCATTTGCCTCGAGGCGATGCAGCCCACAAATCTATATATACATGACTTCCGAAACAAATTTCTCAAGAAATCGGATCCATTTCCCCAGCAAATGCATTACTGTATGCTGTGATATGATCAATAATCTCACATGCATGGTTGGATTTTCGTAATTTCTCCATAAACTATTAAATTAAATATGTACTGTATAATGTACAGTATACATTTAAATGATTTATCATAAATATGATTCTGATTTGTTTTCCTTGGTATGTGGCTGGTTTCATGCCCTCCGTATCTGCAATAATTGGGGGACATGGAACCTGCCATGCCATCACGTTCCTCCCTGAAAAATTCCAGTCTGATTTTCTAATTTTCACTTAATGGTTGCATTACCACTATGTGTGATCCAGATTT